TTATTGGGGGACACCACTGATACCCAATAGCTCGGTGTAGGCCTATTCCCACATCTCCATTACAGACCCGGGTCCGACAGCTGCACTTACTTTTGTAATTGTTTCAGTTTCAATGTAAGGATAACGGGTTTAATTTGTGTTGATGAAGAGTTGGAGCGTGAGAGGAACAAGTGAAAACGTTAGATTGGAAAAAAAGTGTGACAGTGACTCTTTTCCAACATTTGCCTTCCAGGTACTAATGTCTGAAGTATCATTTGTCATGATTTCAGCTTTGTCATGTGCCAATATGTTCTAAATTTTATCGGAATGAAAGACCCTGCTGCCACCTACCGTAATGATCCGTTCAACCTGCAGCACCTGCTCCGTGCCCTCGTTCACGTACTGGTCCGTGTCGCCTGCTACCACGTTATACTGACTGGGGTACTTGAAACTGTCAACAAATATCAGATGTTTTTCTTAGTTAACCTTTAAAAACATGGAGATGGTGTAACTGTTAAAATACTAATTCGATCTGTTTAATTTCCTTTAAAGGCCATACTTGGGTTTATTAACTCTGACAACTCTAATGTCAATAAGATGTTTTCTCCAAATATGAAACACACACACGCACACACACACACACACACACACACACATATATGTATAATACCCGATATAAAATTAAACTAAAAAAATCAATATATCAAATCTTATTAAGAAAAAAAAAATGAAATTTGCATTCAACATGTATCAATCATTACATTATAAAAACCAATTAATCGACAGCCCAGAGGTCTGAGGTGTACAAAAGCACATACTCCTTAAAGCAGTGAGCAGCCGTGACCACCCATCGGCTGCTGATTAATGTTCCTGCACAGCAATGGCGTCTCTGGTTGTTCCCCGGCTGGCAGAACGTTCTCAGGGACACTTGCCAGGGCCAGGAGCCTGCCCTTGCATTCTGGCCATTGATGATACGGCTGGTCTTGCCGGGAATACCACAGACTGGAATTAAGAGGCACCGCCGTATTCAAAGTTTAATCATATATTGACTGATAGAAATAATCGTCCCTTAGGACGAAAAACGCCAGCCCTGAACAGAAATGTGAACTATATATCTGTGCAATTTCTTAATTTGCGACAACCAATTATTTAATACGGTCCACTTATTCAGAAAAAGGACTCCCTTTAAAATTCGTGGCTGTGGGCCTGTGCCAACATATTCATACCGTTTAATACGGTATGCAAAGCTTTGTACAAACGAATTGGAGAGAGAAGGAAAGAGAGAGAGAGAGATCACATTTACAAATTTACTTTTGTCATTGACCGGTGTTCCACTTCCTGTGCTGGTAGTTCCTGTTCCGGTGCCTGTCCCCGTCCCAGTTCCGGTGCCTGTGCCAGTCCCAGTTCCGGTGATTATGCAGCACTTTTGCTGGGCCCCATACGGACAAAGACCATACCCGTTATACGCTGTGCCAGCGCAGCCAACATTTAGGCTCAAACATCGCCCTCCGTATCGAGAACTGCAGCCGCTCTGCTGCTGTGTCGCTGTAACGTGACCAGAAACAATCAGACGTGTCGACGTACTGTATTTTAAAAATAATTTTCCGAGACTTTTTTCAATTTGATTCCCGAAGCACGTTCGTCATGTCTTGCATGGATTAGAAAATGTTTAGGAAGAAAAAGCGTTAAACAAATTAAGAAATGAAATATAAATTATGATTAATCCAGTTGTGATGTTCAAAAAAAAAAAAAAAAAAAAAAAAATTAAATGTAATACTGCGCATTCAAAGATATCTTTGTGATCAATAGAAGACAAAACGTCGAACTCTCTGCATTACATCTAGCAGATCTACGTGATAGCCCAATATTAGATTTAATATTTTTGCCTTTTGAAATCAAGAAACGCGTATCCGTGAATTAATTGGGTACTTACCCGTGGCCCTGCAACAGACTGATCCGTATGCGCAACCATACGCCTGTACAGCTGAGGCGCAGTAGGCGGCAGGAACGCACTGCAGACGCAACTGGGAGCAGTAGTAGACGAACTGACCTGAACAAATGACATATAAAAGTCGCAAATCATGAGAACATACACATAGGCTGCGTGGAGCGTCAACGCACTAAGGTGCAAGAGTGCAGGAGTGATAGGGTATGACGAATGGCAGCTGTGAAGAAGGGAGGGGGATAGATCGTGCAAAAAATTGTAATGGCATCTCTTAAAATAATCTGTTTTGTGAAGACAGACTTGCAACTTGAAGGTGCAACGCCGTTTACTGAAAAGTGCAAAATCATCAAAAATTAAATTTGATTTCAGTTATTGACACTCATCCCGTTAAAGACATTTTTCTAAATCAATGCTGTATATATTAATTTGATATTATTTAAATGATATGTAACTAAATTAAATTATATATTTAAATGTACAAACCGTGAGACAGGGCCAGGGAACCCAACAGGAGAGCCAACACAATCATGGCGACGTACGTCTTTGACCAGCTTCTGGTCAACGTATGGTCAACGTCGCGAATTTAAGATATAGTTTGAACACGTCAGCACCACAGTACCCTGTAGTTCACATCATCTTTAGATTCAGGACCAAGGATTAAGTAAACAGATCACGATATGCATATGAGGGCAAAATTGTGATGTACGGCCGAGATAACTACAACCATGGATGCTTATTTTTTTGATGGCGTAACGGGTTTTATTTTTTTACTCAAATGACGTATGTTGTTTCTTGGAAGAACGTACTTTTCAAGATGAGACTCCGGGTTGGAATGAGCTCTAATCAGTTTAATCCAGGCGCGGATTAACAAGCATATTGCAGTTGACATTGTACCTTGCTTCCTGTCCAGATGTCGTCTTTCTCAAGGCATGTGCATGAAAAGCTTCACCCTGAGTTGCCTAGGTTTCCGTAATATACCCAGACTGCTATCAGCGTGTCTTTGTATGCCACTAACTAGTGGAAAGTCGAGTTCGCTGAGACTTTTGAAATTTAGGGTAGACAGTCATTGACACTGCGCCATCAGGATCATTTCGCACATACGTCAGGGTTGTGATCCCGAAGTTACGAACCACCTCTGGGAGTTTTTATAGCTTTACATGTTCAAATGTGCTATTCTTCCACTCAAAACGCGATACTGGACTGTTTTGTCCAATACTGGACGTTTTGTCCAATATACATTTGTAAGAAAATGACTTATGTACCCTGGTTATAATCATGAAGAAAGTAAAAGATACACAGTGTAATATTTTCTCGCGAAAAACCAGTCTTCACGAATTATCCTGCGCGGAATACGTAACTGAATCAAGGCGCAAAATAAGGTTAATTTGGCGACACTAAACCCGACCAAATGTTGACAAATAGTTTCTAATAGCAGAAGTTAAAGCCATGGCATTCACGGAGAGACAGGCCATACACACTCTTGTGTTTCAGAGCACGGTATACATCAGACATGAGCCTAGGTTTCAAAAAACTCTCTGAACACCCCCCCCCCCATTTTTTGCCGATCTTGGCGAATTTCAGAAATGAATTAGAAAACGCGAAATTCCGTGGAAACAGCTCTTGATACATTGAAAGCACAAAGTGGGAGTTCCCAACCACACCTGACACTCGGACAGGCCCACACAGCTCATCATAATGAAACACAACTTCCCAGGTTTACAATGACTTTTGTTTATTGAGCAGTACACATGATACCACTTACATTCAGATACAGACACATTAACCTTAAGTTTACTAAGCAAAGATGTACCATGTTACAGTTTCATTGTGCTATTTTCGTCCCAACTTCCTCAGTCCCAAACTGCCTTAAACAATTTACATTTTTAGTCGAAATAGTCGTGTTGTTTTTCTGTGCCACTCTTTCGTGTCGTGAAGTGATAGAATTGAGGAGCTCAACCCAATCCACATCTTCAAAGACACCACGTTCTAGGATCTTCAATCAGAGCAGTTCTGCCGCATCATGGCTTATTTGAAACACTTTCCATTTCCAGACAGAATGTTTTGCAGGTATAATCCACAAACGAGGTAAAAGGTGTTATAGTATTGAACATACACAAGTTATCACATGACGCCAGTAAAAGCAGACTACCTCATATATATGGCCGTGTAACGACTGATTCAACAATGAACTAACAATTGAATGAAATGGACTACCTGATACTAAAAATGTTCTGCCCTAAAAGTGTAACATTAGTACTTGGTAATTTTTTTTTGTGTAAACTACAGAAAATGACTAATAGGAGTATTGATATTCTTTGGAGGACTATATCGTAAGCTAAACTTTTGGTAAACAAGCGTCTGCCTAAAACAAAACATACAGTTCCTACGGATCTATGACGTAATCAGAACAGTTCACACAAGAACTACTTTAAACCGACATTTGGTCTTACTGGTGTCATCAGGCAACTAGATGACATAGTGGAGACCAATTCCAGGTTTAACTAGTCCATGTGTGAATGCGCCTATTGTCTAAACAATATCACCTAAAAAATACATCATTCTACAGGCACAGCAAGCTAGCTACCTCGCCACAGCAAATGCAATGTCATGGCATGAGCAACATAAATGTTATGATTAACCATTCACAGAAAAATAAAACTTGGTGAAAAAATTAATAAATAACTTACACATATGTACATACATTGTTAAGGCATAATAATTTAATCAACTGCACTAGCACTGACACACTTCTCTATGCACTTTACAAACCTCATCACTTATTGATATCATATTTTAGCACAATGGCAAAAATCAAAACTAGCCAATTTGGATCAGATATGATTTAGATGCTTAGATCCCATACCCTCTACCCCCTCCCACAAAAAAAGTAAACCCTATGCGTAGTTATAAAGCAGAAAATACAAACTGAAAGCCATCTTTAGAACGGTGGCAGCGGTGGGATGGACATGTCACATTTTCAGAGTTTTAAGAAACAAAGAAATATCTAAACAACAAAAGAGCCCAAAGTCAGTGCCAACCCTCCCCATCTCAGCTACCCCTTCTTTATATTACTTTTAATTGAGATCAGTTGGAAAATTTCACTCAAATCGTCTGAAAGACCTTCTGACATTCAAAACTCGGATTTCAGATCTTCATCTTTTTGCTTTGATGCTGTACCACTGCTAGGTCTCTCCCAGGGCCGAGAGTGCATGAATATCAAACCATCTCTTTTATAACATAAATGGGTCACTATGTTATTTTCAGTAAATTGACCCAATTATCCGAAATACCGCAATGGCGGCCTACAGCTCTCAAACTCTGGGTTTCCCTAACTTCATATTCCAACTTCCCTTATGTCATCGTGCTTGGCATGTCAGCCTTCTTTTTCTCTATCCAACAAAGCAGACAATCCATTATTATTATTCACTTTTCTCAGCATCAAAACCTCGAAACTGGACTAAGTCGAAGGAATTTTCTGACTGAGATGATACATTTAAAATTCACTGGACATTGAATTTTATGGTCTTCCAGTGTGACCAAACAAGATTTTAGGTCAAGTTTATTTTTTAATCAACAGGTGATCCACCTTAAGAAATCTTCCCTCAGAGACAGCCTTGACACTTGACAGCTAACCATGCACCCCCTCCCTCCCAAGAACTTTCAACTCACTTTCTCTTAATACAGGAAATGTCACTTTTCACAGGAAAAAAGGAATTTTGCCTTACACTAAGATATATGCTAAAACTATTCAATACTGAATGCCTTGCTAACTATAACCCTAATACTTNCCCCCCCCACCCCCCAATAGGATCCTATGCACTTGTGAAATCTTGCACAACCTTGCACAAAAAGACAGTTCTGAATAAAACTGACGGATATTATCAAAGGAATTTTTCTTTCTTCAGATCTGTTGACAATATGGCAAAAATATGTACAGTAGTATAAAGCTCACAGCTATCTCTCAAAATAATTAAGAAAAAAATGTGCCGTGAATGAGAGAGTAATTTTAAAGTACTTTGTGTTTAAACAATATTAATTTACACATAAAATTATATAATATATATTTGACTAAACCAAAGTACAGGTCCCAAAAACAGGTTTGTGACATTTAAAGGTGTAGCATTAATATGAAGCAAATTGTGTCATTAATACTTTACACCAAGCTTAGCTAGATTTCTTTAAAAAAAAAAAAAAACATTGCACAATCATTATCCCAAGTCACATTTCCATTTCATAACCACAAATGATCTAACAATAAGCAAGTTCTTAATTCCTACTCTAGCCAGCAGGTTATAATACACCTGGCAACAATCTTCTATCAAAAAACCACATGCAAATATCTACAATGATACATACATAATTGTCTTTAAACATTCCAATTCAATTATTCAAAATGTACATAAATCAACATAGTGGGCATATTCTGCTTTATCCCAGATAAAAAGCTACAATGGCATATGATACACAATATTTTTGAAGCCACAGATTTGTTTATCATTATTACTATTATCATTATCATATATCTAATACAGTTGATATGGCAGCATGAGAAGAAGCAGGCTGTGTTGGGGTTATAATCTCAGGGGAATCATCCCTTGCCCCAGGCTTGTGGGTGCTGAGAATATGGTCTTGTAAATTATGCTGAGAGCAGTTTAGAATAAGACACTGGCAGGTAAACAGAGGCCTTAAATGCAACCAATAGATTATTTGACAACTCAATACGACTTGCAAAATTCAGATTTTTTTGATGTTTTAAAGAACTGACATTTTGATCCTTACAAAATACAGGGAGGTAAGTATATGCAGTAACATTTCCACGCCTTCTTCAATGAATCCAACATCAGTTTCATCTTATGCTGCAATAAAAACTGCAGATTACAAAGTAAAACACTACATTTAATGACATGTCATTAAGGAAACTTGTCAACAAGCATCAATTCTAAGTTACATAACCATAAGTTCAAGGTGTATATACAGATGCAACTTGTTTCCCATTCCACAATTCTGAGAATACAGATGCAATTTGTTTCCCATTCCGCACTCCTGGAAATACAGGTACAATGCCACTTTGTTGCACTTCAGAGACACCTCCTTACACAGACATCTGAATGATAGTAATGGTTCTTTAGATCTCCAGACACACCTCCTACATGGTATCAAACATCCCACATTGGTATTTAGAATAAATCTTCAGAAAGGCATGCTTTCTGTGCGGCCTTATGCAAAGATGCTCTCACAGTCAATCTGTATGACAACTTGACCTATGCTGGCACTGGTATGGTATGGTGATGTGAAATATATGATCTCAGGTGGCATCAAATCTGTATTTCCCACAAAATTGTGGAAGCAGCATGGGACTTCTTCAGGATTCACCTACAACAAGAAATAAAAATATAACAACATGCTTTCACCCGATTCCCATTTGTTTAAAAGGAAACAAAATAATCAGGGCAAATCATATTCAATACAGATGTCAAACTCAATATTGTGCGAGGTGCCAAAATGAGGAGACATTAATCAAAAAAGGTAAATAGACAAATGAACTAGAGGATCAGAGAGGCGATACCGCCTCCGAATATTGTACCACCAGCTGGAGCAAGCGCATTCGTATAGNGCTACTCCTGTGAAAATGCACCGATTGACCCCAAATTCACGGAGATGAAAGATAACCTGAAGGTTAACACTTTCCAATAATATTATTGGTTAAGTCTGTGTGGTGTCTGAATAACAGGGCAAATAATTTTTTTTTTGTAAAAAAATTCATTTTTTTGAAAATTTTGGCCCCTTTGACCTTGAAATAAAGGTCAAAGGTCAAATCCAATGGCATATTTGAAATCTACACATATGACTTATGGAAAGCCGTCTGTAGAAATTTTCCCCATAATTCCTTCCGTAGGGTAGATAATTAGCATTTAATTTTGCCATTTTTAGACAAGGGTGCATTGCATTGAGTGCCACACCTAGACCCCAATACCGACAAAGCCCAAATTTTACGTGGAACGAGTTGAGATTATAGGTGACCTAAATCCAAGAGATGGGTACGGAGGCCCTTACCGTCTAGGAGGAGAAGCGGTAACGGTAGCCGTCCGGCGGAGCCGCAGGAGCCCGCGGAACGATCCGGACGGGACTAAAACCATGTGTACCGCCAGCGCTAACGCTGGTGGTACAATAAGACAGTTACATAAATGCAATGAATTTAAAGCACCAAAGATCGAAACTAAATACAATGAACAATGCTTCATTTAGGGGAATGCTCAAACATGGGAACTCCTTTGGACTGAAAAATGCACAAATCTCTCTGTGCATAAAAATCAGTTACTGACAAGTCTGAAACCCAACTGGAGCCTGTTTGTATTCTTGCTGTCTGATGAGAGAGATGTGTTCATTTCTCCAGTCAAAGCAGTCTTTCTCTGTACAGACCCGTCAGTCTATAATACCAGGTTTCTGTCCTTGGGCAAGTTTCACATAGTAACCTTAGACTGAAATATGTTCTGAACTCTTAAGATGAAAACTTCTACACTATTTTGACACCAAGATATATCAGCAGTGGTATGGTCAAATAATTTTTTTTAAATTGGATCAGTAGTTATTTTTCACCTGAGTTGAAAAAAAAAAAAAGGCTCTTAAATTAAGGATCAATTTCCAGTCTAAGTTTATTTGTGAACCTGGCCCCTGTACCTACCCTTAGCAATACTTAATGCAGATTATCCCTAAAGACAAATATCTGCATCTCATAGACAGCAGTGGGATAATAATGTATCCAGGTGGGGTTAGGTGTTCCATGTCGTCACTCACCTTTCAGTATTAGTATGTTTTTCATGTTAAAACAAATACTGTAGCAATCCATCCCCTGCTTTGAAGCATACACCACTAATAAAATCTAATGTGAAAACCCACTGGAAAGCCAAAGAACTATCAAAAACAAATACCATCAATTCAAGATAAACAAGTAACATGATAGAGAGTTTTATTTCGAATGTAAAATTCCAAAATGGCTGCCAATTTAAAGATGGTATCCATTCTTTATTATGTTCCTTGACTTCAATGATGCAGTTTCCAGTCTAATTAATCTAACAAGGACCACGTTGTTGCTGATTAATTAAATAAATAATAAATGTAGCAACTTACGCTGCAGGCTGCTGTGCCACTGGTTTCACCACAGGTGGTGCGCCACCACGGATCCCAACTGGAGCACCGCCATGATGGCCCTGGCCTGCACGGATTGGTTTGGCTGAAAATCACAATATGAATAAAAGCTTACACATAAAGGCTTTCTTGACATTGATGATAACATACTTCAAATGCATATAATGTGGAGTTGATATGTGGACTACTTTTATTGCACCATTAAAGGTTAGCACTTTTCAGAAGTATAACTGAAATGTGTTAACTGAGTTAAAATTCAGATGTCAGGAGATATCCTCGAAAAAGTGAAGCTGTTTCAAATTTTGTATGGCACAGTGGTAAACAATTACTTTGGGTCAATGTCAAGCACTTTGAACATCAATTACTTTCGTGGTTTGTTGGGTTTAAATAATAATTGAAATACTCAAGTGTGTGTGTGTGTGTATGTGTGTGTGTATGTGTGTGTGTGAGAGGGAGAGAGAAAGAATATTTATGGGTGAACATCTCACCAATCTGAGCATGCTGCATTCTTCTCTGCAGATTCTTCTGTCTCACAGCTTCTTTGATTCTGTCCACCTCATGCTGATATCTGCAAACAGTACACAAAATAATTTTATCTCAAGACACAGTTCAAGGCAACAAAATACATTTATTATTTACCTAGGGTTCTCTAAGGCAATTATTTTCTCAGCCAATTGCCAAAGCTAATTCAATTTAGTCCAAGAAAAACCGATTGGTTCAACTTTTAATTGAATAAAAACTCTCTGCAACTGGAAAGAAACAACAATATGCTTTAGAGAACCCTCTTGGCTAACACCCAATTCTGCTTCACATACACACGATTCCAATGCAGTTATTATAAAGTTTAGTGGGTCGGTGTCTATTATTTTACCAGTTAACATATTACTTTTTCATACTGAATATTATATAATATTATACCCAATCTGTTAATTTTAGTTGGATAACTATTTATTCAGAGGAATATCCATACCACCGAGCTATTATGGGTACTACTTTTATTGGATATCTTATTTACATAAAATGATTCGGTTAAAACATTCCTTAGATGACTTTATATGGACAATAATATTACTACAGAGGTGTTAACTGATTATTGAGGTATCATGACTAATGTGCACACTGCTAAAGCTGAACACATTTAGACTACTAGGTGTGGTTCTATGTTAATGTGCAACTATGCAAGGTAAACTTCAGCAAAGGTACTGGAGGGCCATGGAGAACATAATTTGCATACTTTATTCACTGTGTTAACTTTAATATTAAATAAATCCATTAACCCATGATTAACCTTAGACAGCAGTTTAAACGGTAACAAAAAAAAAAAAAAAAAAAAAAAAAAAAAATACAGATCCTCCTCTATTATCTCCACTGACTCTGCAAGAATCACAAGAGGGACCTTTAGGATCTTTAAGCTAGTGGGTAATACCAACAACTTTTAATTCTTTAGTCAAACTATCTAAAAGAACATTTGTATGATTTTTGTGTTTCTTCCACACCCTATACCAATGAGGGACAGGGGAGTCAAAACTGAAGAGCACCTTGCATAGATTGTACTGGTTTGGTAATGGCAAGTCTTTAGACTAACCTAAACAGTCACTTTATCATTTTTTTATACAATGCAACTACGCAAAGCCTCTAAAGGAACACAACATTCCCAAGATTAAATCAAGCAGGTTGCATATTAACAATTAGTTGGCAGCCACTTTCATAACAAAAGAATCCTTTTCCCCACAAAACCAGTTTAAAATTGAAACAGCCCTCTGTTGATTATCAGTAAGTTATTAGTTTGAAGCAGTTTACCTAACCTAAAAGCAATCTAGCAAAAGCCATGCTTTTGTAACCACTCAATGATTATATAATGAAATGTGCACAGAATAAAAAGGACAGAAAAAGCATGCTATGTGTAAACACTGACCTGGTACAGTATCTGAATATTTGGTGTAAATGATTTCCTAATTTGTAGTATAATTTCATTGTTTCAAATGCCTTGTTCCAAAGATAACAATGTTGTTTTATTTTTCTGCTGTGTATCATAATTTTTTAATTTATTTTAGTTTTCTTTTCACAGTGATATAAAAGGCATCTTTGTTGTGTAAAAAATTGCCTGAATTTTGAGAGCCACATCTTTTGCGTTTGTCTAAGTGCCAACTGCATAGCAGCTATTGGGTGCTTTTATCAAGCTGGGGAGGAGGGAGTACAAATGTTTATCATCTTAAAGTTGTTATATTGTTTAAACAGTAAGAGAAAAGCACAACAGGGGTGATATCCTAAAAACATAAGCAACTTAAAAACCCTCCATTACTCAACCAAAAGTCAGACCGTCATTAACAATTTACATTATATCAATCTGACTTGAGGGTGAGTGCAAGTATTTGTAGATTATAAACTTTCTAGAATACCACACCCATACCAGCACATGCTGCCTAGTAAGTGGGATAAAGCTGGCTACTACAGTTATGCCCCACACCCACATGCTTTAAAATAAGTCAATGAGTTCATCATTTGGCCATTGTGATTACTTATTAATAGCACTGTCAATATACAGTTATTAAGTATTCTTTTGATTTTTTTTTATAATAATATTAAAGGTGTTTTTTAAATGTTTAAAGTGATTGCTTACCATGTGGCAAAAAAGTAGCTGTGCATAGCTATCATATTTCATTCCAAATCTTATAATTTTTTTAAATTACCAATTCTAATTGAACCAAAGCAAAGTTAAATAAGATATGATTATTTTTACTAAAAAAAAAACATATGTTAATGATGTAGTCTTACATTAAGAGGAGCCATAAGCTCCATGATGCAAGTCATCACTAAACCAGTCAATTTTCTTTCCTTACGAAGAGACAGACAGACAGACAATGGCCCAGGTATTTACATACCACCCAATGGGTGTATGTAAAACACAACTACAAACTTCAATAGTTACAGGTGTCAGTGAACCCAGGCAGTCATTCATCAAACTCTCATCCAATGTCCATTAAGAACTGACTGAGAAGTTGAACACAGAGTCAGAGATCTCAAACTGTGGTTAGATTCAGTCATCTTGAAAAAATAAGTGATTTTCTTTTGTATTAGTACACATTCCTTTTGGTCACTTTACATGCCTATCTTAATCAAAACTGATGCTAAATGTGCTGCTGACAATGGAAAATTTAAAATCAAAGGTGTCCTATAATATTATGGAATATACAATAAAAAGTATATCATATTGATAATACTCTTACCTTTTTCTTAAAAAAAAAAAAAAAAAAAAAAGACATACTCATTCTGATTTACAAAAAAGTAATCAAAGTATAAAAAAAAAAAACTGCTCACAATATTTAGCAATACTGGTCATGAGCAGAATCTACTCATAATATATACCAAACCCATTGTTAATAGTTTTGGTGCAAATACATGTAATTTGTGCCAGGAGTTAATGTGGTCAGATAAACCTTTAAAGGCTTGTTCACAACAGGATCAACCTAAAACCTGCTCTGCACTTAACTGCATCATCTGTCAGCCAATCAAGATGGGATCTACTACCATTTTTACCTGACCACCCTATGCTGTTAAATGATGCAGTTTAGGAACACAAGTTTTAAGTTATTCCTTATGTGAATGCGCCTCAAACCTAGCTATCAGACTAGCCCTATACCACCCATGCAGCACAGAGCAAAAGCTCTCAGTAAAATGACATTTCAAGAGTATATAAGCCCCTTACCCTTAATAGCCACCAAATTGTAAGGTTTATAGATAGTAGTTATATTTGATAGATGCGTTCCCATTTATTGAAACTGACTCTGGATTTACCTAATGAGCACGCTCATTCTGCAGAAAAATTGATTGTACAATAAGAATGTCCTTGATACAAGATTTAAAAATTTCCATCTCAATACAAGTAAGAAGCTTTGCCAAGCTTATCTTACTCTATTGGAAAATGAAAAATGTTTGCCACGGTGAAACTGAGTTGTTAGTTTAAGCAAAGTATAATCCAGTTTTCTATGGATAAATGTGGATTTCTGTCACAAGAGATATAACCATAACTTATCAAGTGAAAGGGTGACTAAAAATAACATCCTTGTACAGATTTCATAATAAAATAAGAAATTTCCAAATTATAACAAAAATCAGTTCGTGTCCTGTAAGCGAAAAACACAGTGGTCAACACTTACACAGAGCCCAAAATAAAATTTCAAAATGTCAGACAAAACCAAGCCGAAGGTGGCCATCTCTTTAACGAAATTTAAACCCAGAGCCTGAATCAAAAGCTACACATGTAACAGATATGACAAACCTGTACATTCTGAAGCATATAATCATTAACAAATCATATCACTAACATTGTCTTTGTACTGCTTAAAAATCAGCACTCAATATTGTTAAGTCACCCCCTCAAAAAAATTTTCAATATTGTCAGCAAACTTATTATATTATATTTTAAATCACATTGAGTCTAGGAGTAAAGTGACCAAAGAGAACACTATATATGAGAAGAAACAGCAGCGTGCTTCAAAAGCATGGCAATACACGAACCAATGGTCCATTTCTGCTTTCAAATTGGTATACCTTGTAAATCTTTTATCAACACTTTCACATTGCCTGTTGTAGTCAAAGTAAAATAAAAGCCTCAGTCAGTAGTTGTCCATGCAAGACAAGACCAATAAACCAGTGAGATTTGGAACCACTTTATTATTATTTTTTTTTCCTTTTTTTTTTTCAAATCATCCCTACATTTAGTGTAAGATGCATTTTCGAATGCCTTTTCATTTCATGTTAAGTTCATGAAAAGTACAAATCGGGGGGGGGGGGGGGGAGACTTTATGGCAAGTAATTTAAGTGTGTACAGGCCTGTTATCATGAAGCAAAACTCAATTATACTTTTGACATCTTTTTATCCTGTATTCTAGAGTGCATTAATTCATGTTTTGAATACAAAAGGTTACATGGGTGAAAAATAAGTGTCACTAAGAGAAATGTTGTCATTCAATGTTTATGATCTCTTATAATGGAAAATAACATGTGTGAGGCCAAATTTCATATCCCATGCCTGATGTCATTTTTTGATATCAAATAAAATTTTCTGTTTCTATCAATTTTAGATTTTAAAACTGCCAAAACAGTGCTTTTGCTTAAAACTGTGCTTTTGTCAATAACAGTTAATAAGAGGTTACACTGGGATGAGGGCATGTCTCAAATAGTGCTCAAGGTGCTCCAAGGTGTTGTTGTGATTCCAAATCCACAGGGTTTGCATGGCCTGATAGAGAAGGCACAATTCAACAAGGCAAGGCTAGGTTCTAAAATATTGCAGACATGAACAGTATTGGAAGCTGCCTTCATAAAGACAAAGCCACCACTTGGAAGCTGCCTACAGTGAGGCAAAGCCACCACAATCTGCCATGTTTACAGAAATATAATACTTAAAGACTTTTGATCTATATAATCTATCAAAAGTGATATTTATCAATTTAACTTTTAAACAGTAAATCTAATACATAAAAAGGTTTGCACAACTGCAAATGGTTTATCACCTTAAACACAGAAGGTTGAGATTCTGTGTAAGATGAAGTTACAGTTTTCTAAAATATAAAATAAATTATAAAACTGGCATACTACTTTCATAATATCGGTTCCCAATGAAAAAGGAACAAAGGCTTAGCCTCACCTTTTTGTGTTCTCATATCAAATACTTTCTCTCCCCCCAGCAAAAAACTACAGATTATACATCAACTCAAACATGTCCCACAAATGCAAGACAAAGGGCACCAATTAATACAGGGGAACCCAAAAAGACACAAACCATACAGCACAGTTTCCCAAAACCCCTTTTTACATACAGTTGTGGAGAAGATGCAATAGCTGCCACAAGTTCTGAATCGTCCAGATGAAGGCTCAAGTCTATTGCAGACATGAAATTTTGGAAGAAAGTTCCCCTTTGACGACAATGAGACAAACACAAAACATATGCCTCAGGCCTAGCAAGCCAGAGCAGAGAAATGTCTGTTTACACAGTATAAAATGTTTAAAAGAAAACTCTAGCAGGATTTCTACTAGATAAAGAACTTGAGGATTGCTTTGAAAAGAAGATAAGGAAAAAAGGCTCTTTCAAGGTAACTGTGTGAAAAATCTGGCAAGCAAAATTGATGTGCTGTTTTTTCTATCAAGATATCAATGTGTCCCAAATTTCTCACTAATAGAGACCCTGCTAATTCATATCTATTTTGGAATTCCAAATAATTCTTTTCAAAAACTGGTTAAAACAAACTGCTAACTACTCAAAACATCCAGATAGCCAAATTTAGATTGAAATTTTGCAAAGATAAAGTATACCAGAAATTTTCATAAGGCGTCACTCTTAAAAACTTTGTGTTTGGTAGGCCTGATTATACAGAAAAAACTGAGCAGGGTACCAAAACCGAATCCTTTCTCACAAAATCATAAAGAAAGAATAATCTACAGAAAGAAAACATTCTTGATTACCTAAGAACAACTGTATTTAGACTACTTTGCCAAAACGGACTAAAAGGAAAGAAGACAAAATCTAACAAGCCTGAGCCAAAGAACCAAAAAAGTGTAAGACAGATGCAGTTGTTTGAAAACAGACAAAAAACTATCAACAAACTGTAAAGTAACATCTTCTCGCGGGGGTAAATAGGTATCTTAAGTTTTCAAAGAGTCACTAAAATATTGATAAACAGACTGTGTAAAAAAAAATCAAACTTCCCATCAATTTACTTACTCAAATTCAAGAGTTAAACTCCCACGAATTTCTGCTAATTTACAGAGGGATCACATACAAAAAAGACGATTACTCAATACAAAGACAACCGAACACAAACACAGGGCAGAACAACAGAACAACTCCCCACTCCCTGCCATATACCCACCTCTTCCTATCTCTCATAGCACCCTCCTTCGCATCTTTTAGCGCACTCTCCAGCGCCTTGACGCGGTCCATGGTGGCACGCAGCCTCTTTTCCAGCTTGGGCAGCTCGCACCTCAAATCAGCATTGTCACGCACAAGCTATAAAGGAGGACAGTATTATGTTAAATTATGAAATAATCTCGAATGTTTTTTTCCAGACAAACTTTGCATAAAACTTGATTATTGGAATGAACTGAAGATGTCTAATGCTCTTACTTATACCCTCAAGAGAATTTCTAAGATGCACATGTAACTATTGTTCCATTCACACAATGGTCATCAAAACAGTGACCACTACTTAGTTTGTAAGTTGTGTGGTGACTTGAGCGCCAGCATAATGTCTTCATCTATGCTAATATAACCACGTCTACTTGATCTAAATTGTTTTCAGGGAATGAAATCTGTCTCTGATACCTACCTGTTTGTGTACTTTGGTGAGCTGATCTAGATTGTTTTCTAGGAATGAAATCTTCTGTCTCTGAGCAGCACTGCTGGTGGCATCTTCTTCCTCATCCAAACCCTGAAGATAGCAAAGATTACATCATGATAACTCACAAACATAGATAAAATACAGCATTTGCCCCGTAGTCATTAAATAAAATAATTTTGTCAGCTATGTTATGCACCTAAAGTTTCTGTAATAGACACATATGAGGCACTGAAATATTTAAGGTTAGCTCTTGTAAGAAGAAAAAAGAGAGGTAAATTTGAATTTCTGAACTCCATAATGAAAAATGCAGCCATGCCTGCTCTTGGAGAAAAATCTTTTAGTTAAACATCTTAGTTCACACTGAGAGAGGAAACAGAATAGAGACTGACAACTCAAAGGTAATCTCATTTCCACAATATCACAACATACAAACACATCCCCAGACATCCCAGAACACAACTTACAGCATCTTTGACTTTCTTGACTCTGGCCTGCAGGTCCTGGACAAACAGTTTCCTCAGGTTGTGGAGGGTCTGGAGCTCTTTGGCTACAGTCTCCTCCAGACCCTTGAGGTCCTGCTTGGCTTGCTCCCTCTTCTCCAGCTGTAGGGAGACCTCGCTGAGCTTGGTGGCCTTCTCAGCCTCCTCTGCCTTCAGTTTGTCATGGTCGGCTTGGAGCTGGTCGTGGGCCAGGCTCAACTTTTGGTTCACCCTGGAAGTGAATGGTGGTTTTAGTTATCCACACAGTGTAACAGCATGATCTTTTATGTTTATCTTTTATAATTATATCAAAATGTTAGGTCACAAGAATAATGTGAATGTTTAAGTTTTGGCATAGCTTATTTGGAGCTGGATTTGTAAAAGTACATTCTCTGGTTCACTAGATATTAGACAGTGACTGAATAATGTCATGATATAATGACTGTGGACAACCGTGGTATCTGCGAGAAGGGTATGAAAAAAAAACAGAAGTAAATTTGACAAATAAATAGAACTCAATTATACGAAATGCAAACCACGTACTCTTTCAGTTGCTCTATCTGGTTCTGTTTCTCTGCAATCTCATCTCTGAGTGCATTCAGCTGTTTCTGGTGGGCCTCCCTGTGGCTTTCCATCTGCTTCTCCAGGGCTGTCTTCATGTCATTGGCAGACTTGGCTTCCTCTGCCTTCACATTGTACACTTGCTCTGAAATGATGATAACATCAATGTTACTGGTGCTGAAATTATTAGGGGGTTTGAGCAGCAGCTTGTAAAAGCTGGGGTTGGGGGTGGGGGTGGGAACAGAATCAAGTAGGGTGTGAGTGAACCCCCCACCCCAAACCCCATTTGAGAGGTTACAAAACTGGGAAAGAATTCATGTCTTTTAAAGTCCTGCTTATTGTAATCTTTAGTAGTGTAAGTTCCTCTTTAACACATGGCTCAGGGTGTTTTAATATCCCACCTTGGGCCTTAAGCTTAGCACACTCCTCCTCTAACCCATCCACAGACTCCTCCAACTGTCTCTTCTTCTTCTCTGTCTCTTTAAGGTTCTCTGTCAGGGACTTGATCTTAGCTTCATTCTGGAGGATAAAGTGCAACAATGAAAAATTTTGGTTAAACTCATGATATTTCTCACTCATGCCCTTGGCAGAGAAAAACACTTTCAGGAAATTCATTTGTATTTAGAGAGTTATGGATTGAATGACCAACAAACTATTTGTTAAACTATGTTTAAAGCTTGGGAAAGTTTAAACAAAGACATCTGTGATATGCTACCACAGGACCCTACACTATCTGTACTGAGCTGGACCATGCAATTCTTAATGGGAAAATACTTACACTCTGTGTCAGAATCTTCATCTCAGACAACTCCTTCTCGTAGGCGTTAATCTTGTCGTTACTGCTGGTCTGGGACTGCTCCAGTGTCTGGGTGCGTGTGCAGAGGGTCTTCACCTCTGACTTCATCTTGTTGATGTACAGCCGTGCCACCGTAAACTCTTCCTCGATTTTCTCACTCTGACCTATGCTAGGCTTCTAAGAGAAAATCAGACTTTGCAACAAAACAATAACATCTAGAAAACCTTGCAAGAGGTTTTATTGCCTTTTCTTCAAAAATAGCCTATTTAAATAGAAGGCAAAGTTTTCCATCAAGAGACTTGATATCATGCCTATTTCATTACACAGTTTAAAAGTAATCAAAAACACATAACTTGAATATTTTCTTTTCTATATGTTGACTTATGTAATACAATTATTTAACAATGCAAGATCTGCATTAACTTGAAACAAAATATGTAGATCAAGACTTCATCTGTTAGACTTCAACACACTAACATACGATATTTGTTACAGAAGATATATTTTCACCCATGCGATATTCCTAAATACTTACAGCAATGTCCCCAGCGCTGCCCCCAATAACGCCACCTATCTCACTGAGGTCGCGCAGCAGGCTGATCATCATCTCTGACGTCCTCTTCTTTTGGTGGAGGCTGGAATCCTTGATCTGGTGTAGTTCAGCCTGGGTGTTGTTTAGAAGGTTCTGAAAATATTCGGAGGAAATTGCATGAATGAGATGTTCATTAATGTTAATACAAATCTGTAATAAACCCATCAATCAATCCATCTTCTGTCAATGTCTAGTTAATGTGAGTCAAACAACAGGAGTAGTAATAAAGTAATAAATTATATAGCAATAATCTTCACGAGAAACTTTTTTTTACAAAGTAATTCCTTCTTTGCATTAATTTTTAAACTCAACCTTGATGGAACACTACACAATAGGTAACTTAACTCTACCTACATTTTTATCTACACTTAGTTGTCAAACCTGGCCATTTGTCTCATCTGTCTATTAAATGACTCCCTCATTTTATCCCTGTTTTTATTTAATTATAGTGCATGTGCCCATTTTGTACTTACACTCTTTGAATTCAGTTCATCGGTCAGCTGTTCATTCTCCTTGTTCTTGTTGTCAACCTCCTGTGATTTCTGGTCGTAGTTCATCGCCAGCTCCTCCAGGGCCTGGAGCACCTCCTTCACCTCCTCCTTAGCGCTGTCGTTTTCGCCTTGAATGCGTGCCATCTCCTGCTGCAGCACGTCGTAGTCGCGGCGTGTAGCGGCAATCAGTTCCTCTTGCTCCATCATCTGTTCCTTGAGGCGCTCCACCAAAGTGGCCTGGTTAGCGATCTCATCTTCCTGTAAAGGTCAGAGGTCAAAATATGTAGAAAGGTCACAGGTCAAAACAGAATTCAGCTGACTTAAGATGATACCTGGCACATCACTTTCTTTACAACTAAAGCATGTGGATTCAAAAGCCTGTCCAGGACCAAATATCTCTGTGACACGAATATTCCATCCCATAAAAATGTGCTTTCTGAGGTGTCCGGGAAATCCATTACAAGAAAACTGTACTTCTTTTACTGGGATATTTGTCTTGATTTATTCTTAAAATTTTATCTCTGTGAAAGGCAACAAACCGTATCGTTCATGCAAAATGAACATAACTATGGGATCTCTGTTCTTGTTATTTATGACCTTTTGAACTTTGAAAAGAATCATACTGGGACATCATCCCAAAAAACACAGACCTTATCCTGGAGTTCCTTGTACTGCTTCTCCTTCTCCTCTTCAAACATTCTTCTCTCGTCATCACTGAGGGTGCCCTTGCCACTAGATGGCAGCAGTGAGGGCAGGGAGGCTGTACTGCTGGTCATGCTCTCCATCATGACGTCTGTGATGTCCTTGGGGTTCAACTGGTCCTCCTTGGGGACTGCCTCACCTAGAATTAAAAAAAAATTGTGTTTTAAATTTCATGTTTCCTGGTCTTACTTAAATGCAAAGCACATATTGGACAAAAAAAAGAAAAAAAAAAAAAAAAAAAAAAAAAAGAACATTTTGCCTCTTGTAAACTAGAAAGAAGAAACAGCACATTTGTATGTATTCTTGTGGATATTTTTTTCCTCTCAGAGTTTAACATGTATGGCGACACCAATTAATTTACTAAACTAAGTACAATATTATCAGTATAAATTGATCAAGTAGCATACACAACTGCTTGTTAATTTTTCATTTATTTTGATCTAGTTGTGAACATGCCTCAGTCTTTCCCATTCTTACCATTCCTCCACCTGTTGAGTTCACTCTCCAGTTTCTGCAGCTGTCCTCTCAGCCTGCCACTCTTCTCTTTCTCCTTCTCATACCTCCTCTTCCACTCCTCAGCCGTCAGCTCCTCATTCACCATCACTGTATTCTTGATTGTCTTGGCTCTGATGGCATAGAAAAATCAACACTTATACATCACTTGCCAAAGTAAAGGTATGATTTGATTTAGATTTAAAAATCAACAGGAAAATTGAACTCTTTAGTAAAAACAAATTATAGTATTGTGAATTTTCTTCAGTTTACTCTTTACAGAAACATATAACATAACTACCTTTGTCCAAACTTGACCAATGTTTTGATTTCAAATAAGTCATTTATGAAGAAAAAAATATCAAGATCAACCTCCAGAAAGGAATAACTACATCAAACATGCAGCATTATCTAAACATAACAGCAGATTTTTCTCTGAAAATACAACACACACCCCACAGAAAAGAAGAATAAGTAATAGATAGTAAACACACACCTCTGTCCAAACATGAGGGTTGATTTGGTCTCAGACTCATTGTAAGAGGCGGGAGAGCAGCAAATGATCATGGTGGTCCTGGCGTTACCTCCCAAACTCTCCTGCAGAATCCTGGTCAGCTTGCTGTCTCTGTAGGGAACGTGGGTTTTCTGAAATGCGGAAAAAGTGTGTGTAGTGTTGTGTAAGAAGGTTACTATGAATGGAACCACCGGATCGAGCATTCACAAACTAGCATTTTAGCCAGAAATGTACATGGGAAAATGACAGTGTAAAAAAAAAGTGTCAATTTGAACAATATACATTATACTTTTGAAATGAAATATGAAAAATAAGATAACATGATTATAGTAAACCCCATGCTTTGAAAGTCACTTAAATTGTACTTCACAATTTTTAAATAGTTGTTCAAGATGACAATCAGGTCCAGATATTGTGAGCAGGATGCAGTGCTCCTCAAAAATAAAGACTAAAATAATAAGCTGTAATGGTACTTACATTTCCATCTGCCAGAGCTGATATGACATTTCCTAAAGCTGACAGAGATTTATTGATGTTCTTTGCCTCATCCAGAGTGGTACCCTCACAGCCTGTCTTGCTAACCTAGAAGACATTCAAGTTAAAAGAATCCAATGGTCACAAACACAGATTCTGCTATTTTTAACACTTTCTTCTTCAAATCAACCACATTGCTCTTATCAGAATCTTATCAAAACTATCAACCAGGTGATAAACATCCTCTACTATGGCTAGGTAAAAGGGTTTATTTATTTATTTATTTTTTTGTTAAATCTATCATGGGTAAAGTCAGAAATCTGAAATTTGGCAACAAGATTTTCCCATCTGGAAATAACAAAAGGTCTGTATGCCATACCTTCTCACTACCAGCCAAATCCACAAGGTACAGTTTGCCGCTCAGTTTTTTCTGTGTCTCCAAGTTCTCTTGCCTCACTTGAATCAGGAACACACTGTGACTGCGAGAGCTGTGCTCATTCATGTCTGGAGACAGAACAAAGGGTCAGTTATCAACTATGACACACTTACTCAATAGGTAAAATGCTGGGTTTACAGAGGCTCAATTTATTCTAGGTGTTTCTTGGGTTGGTCTTAAAATGTAAATTCCTGATCACTTGTAATAAAATTAAAATGTGTATCATTATGCCTCATAACCATTTCTTCCACTTTTTTTTTTCCACGCATCAAAATGATTCTATTCCAGTTAAGCATGAAACCATATTCTTTTCTCCACTAGAATAGTTTTAGGTACTAATGGTGTATTGTCTGTTTATTACAGTCCTTTTTCCTTCACAGAGATAGCATTGATGTTGCAGTACTTACTTGTGACTGCCACGTGTCTGTTGGCCTTGCCTTCATCTATCACTTCAAACACCTCCTCTGGGCTGGACACGAACCTCTCTGTGGAACCCTAACACACACAGAGCACAGGGGAATTAAAACATGTACATATACAAGTTTAAAAAGAGACCACGGCTTAAATGAAGGTCTTCAAGACTTGGGGCTTAAATTAAAAGATGACGTTAAAAATAAACAAAGGTTCACTAATTTGTTGTGTAACAACATTGAAATATCATACAAAAAATAAACCATTTAATTCAATAAATATTTATTTAAAAATGAAAAATAATGATTTGTGATATTCCTTTTTACCTCATATGATCATAAATGCTACATATTACCATATGGTGTATTGAGCTTTAATTTTATAAAAACTTTTGCATTATTGCATTCCCAAAATTAACAGTAACTCCTTCAATCTGAACTGGATTTTTAATCTTTTTTTAATATATAAGAAAGGTTGACATACATCGGTACAGATAAGCAAAGATCAAAACTTATTGAATTTTGTGAAACATTCTGTATTCATTATTAGTATTCTTTTTTTTTCTTTCTATTCATTAGTAAAGAGTGCCAATCATCTACATAAAACATGGGGACAACATGTCTAACTACCATGCCAAACTAGAACACACAAGGTGAGTTGGTTATTTTTTTCCGACCAAAGGTATGCTACAGAAGGACTAAATTCTTGGTGTGCACAGGACAGTTATGAGGCAAAGTTAATCGTTTTGAAGCAGTTAGAACAAATATTTGGTTAGTTATCAAGATTATGGTTACTTTTCATTTGCATTCCTTTCACTTTAAGCTTTAAGTCAGTACAACTCACTCCCTTTATCTCAAATTTTCTTATCACACCTGCCCTCCATATTAAACATAAATTGTTAGGGAAAATCTACACACAACACCTAACCCAAGATGGATGTCTACCAATAACCCCCTAAAAGTTTAGGCATACAAAAATATACATCTATTTTGAATTACTACCCCAACCCACATTGTCATTCAACCTAAACTGTCCTGTGGCTATTTGGATATATTACCAAAACTAAAGATGTCATAATAGTCTTAAACCAACAGAAATATTACTAAACGCATATCAAGACATATAAATAGTTCTCACCACTTTAAAATGTTATTCAAACCCAAAATGCCCAAACAAAATAGTTACTCACCCACTCTGATGTATAACCCAGACCCACATTGTTAAACAAACAAAATGGCCACTCACCCACTCTGACCTATTATCCAAACCCATAATGTCCAACAACCAAAATTGTCCCTCACCCACTTGGTATTACTTATAAAACCCACCTTCACGTAGGGCACTCTGTTTTTGTCTTCATGCACTGACAAGTTGCTTTTGGTAACTACATACAAAGGACAAAGGTTAACTAGCAGTACACACAGACTAAATCATTCCTCCTAACTACAAAACACTATCATTTTCTGGGTTCACCATAGCATATATTTGTACTAATCACTCAGCAGAGAAAAATTAGTGATATCAAATTCTGGAGTGAAATATTGGTTCATTTTTTTTTTTAAGCCACGATAAATCATCTTTAAAATTTGGTAAAGTTTTTTATGCTAGGATGAGCCAAGGGTATGGCTTCGTGCAGTTAGTGAGACTTTTCATAAGAGGAGTGTGGGTGGTGTACAAGACTGCAAACAAAAAGTTCATTTGGATAGTGTACAAGACTGGAAACAGAAGTTAATTTATGTCTTCAAAACTGGCCATTTGGAAAAAGTGTATTCTTTTATTTTTTCAGTGGAAAATTCCAAAGTATTTTATTATTATGATAATTTCAAAAATATGAGTTTAAAAGCTCAAAAGTAGCGATCTCTTGTAGCACACAATATGACACCACTCCTCTGAAGACAATGCCATCACTATGGGATGAATGATCAAAGAATGAGTCCTGATTACACCTTACATATAATGTACATGTGGTTTGAATCCAGGCTCACACTGTTTAGCAATATGTACAGACCCATAGCGCATTTTCTTCCATTAAATCAATTTCTTCTATTTTGTTGTAAGATACTTCATCTTTAAACACAAACCAAACTGCTGTGAACCACAATCAAACCTGGATTGAGCCACAATCTATAAAGTGTAAACAGGGTCAGGATGGTAGGGAAAGGATAAAATCATTATGATGCTGATTGTGATGATGGTAAGGGGCTATACAGATAGAAGTGGTTGAAATAACAACATCACACAGGAATCACAACAGCTATACACAGGGCAGGCTGCAGGGAGCTCAGTGAGAGCCTGGCCTGGCATCTACCTTCACATAGGGAATACGGTTCTTGTCTTCATGGACTGACAGGTTGGTTTTGGTGACTGGTGAAAACATGAACAAATATGTTGTTAATATCAGTAGTTCAATAATATTATTATTATTTACACAATCCCTGAAAATGACCATATTTTCTCAAACAACCTGGAAATAAATAATTTAAAGTAAAGATATTGTGCAATATCAATATTCAGACACAAATGATAAAATGTTTCTTTGACACTGAAAAGTTAATAAGAGATAACAACAAAATTAACAATAATTGCCATGAGAAAGATGTACTGGCAACAAATAATAGGATCTTACAAGTACAAGTTGAAAACTTCATAGAATCAATGAAATATAATTACATAAAGCTAAAACAAAACTTAGATTTGGAAAATGTTCAATAAAAGAAATGTACATACACAGATTAAAATTACTCATGAATAACTAGCATGCAAACAATGGTAAACAGTTTTAATATTACTTAAGCTCACGTTCTTGGCAAATCTGGTTTAAATTATCTTCAAATTCATATTCTAAGCTCAAACTCCAAGTATTCCACAAAAATGAAATATCTCAACTAATTTTTCACCATCTGATCAATGACCTGCTGAAAAATTAGTCTATTTTATTTATTTATTTTTCGAAGTTTCTAGTAAATTAAAATGGCACTGAGCTCATGCTCCTGTGAATTCTCTCTTCAACAAGTGAAAAAAATAGACCAGTAATCAAACAAGCACTGCGGTAAAGATTGGCACATAAACTAGTAAAATCTGTCTTTGAATTTTGAGATTTCTACATATCAGCCAGGATGCTCCTCAAGTGGCAGTGGTGGTGGTGGCGGTGGACAGCTGACACAACACAGAGAGTACGAGACAGCAATCACAGCAAGAATTGGGCAGGTGCTCTTAGATCATGGTGAAGCATTGTGGTGGTCATCAAGCAGCATTTTTGGGAAAGTGAAAGATTTAGTAAACATAAAACACAGACTGCAAATTGTAGTCACCTCAAGTAGATCCACCATTCAACATTGTTCCATTCCTGATGAAAAGTGTGTGTGTGTGTGTGTGTGTGTGTGTGTGTTAGTGCATGCATCTATAAGGACGTTTTGCCATGACAGATGATGAGGAAGATTTAAATAGAAGGGTAAGGCCAATGTAAATTATGACAATCATCTACTGTCCAAAATCTCCCCACCCCAGCAAAACTTCCTAATATTTTCATTCATGAAAAAGATAAGCGGGGGGGGGGGGGGTCTTGCACTTCATATCAACTCTCTTAGACCAAACTGGTTTCGAAACGTGGCAAAAGTTTCCAAATAGGATAAAAAAAGGGTTACATAAGGAAAAAAACTGCTGCTGGTGAATTCTCCGACAAAGTAACCAGGTATCCATACTGGAATAGACACATAACCTATACTATGTGATATAACCCAGGATATTGGTAAAGAAGTGATTCATAGATAGGTTTACATGTTTCCTTATTCCTTCAATAGAACATGTGTGTTGGATTAACATTTACCTGCCCTGTTTTCATTAATCTCTACCTGTGTGTTACCTGTATCAGTCATAAGGAATGGAACACTACATGGTGGATGCTAGCAAGGCTGTGTTTGTGTGGGAGATGTAGAGTTTACTATATACAGGATAACAAAATCTGAATAAGCCCAGCTTTCCACTTATTCCACATATTATTTTTTGTTTTTAAATCCATTAACTTCTCACTTCCCTACCTGACCCTTGATAAAAAGGCATGGACATCATGGCAAACGTCTCTCTCATTTCTTTCCGAGAGACTAGAGTGAGAAACATTGTCCGAGTTTACTGCACTTCAAGTCTCTCTGAATAAAATGAGGCATTCATTCAGAATAACGTCCCACAAGTCCACACCATAAAAATGCAGGAAGTGTTAGAGTTAGAACAAATATACCATGAAATCAGGAAATTTCCTGTATATCTGCATAAGACCAAGAGGTACTGGGTGTATTCAGATTATCCAAAAAACACCAAGAACAGCAGTGATCATAAAAATTTGGTATGCATTAATTTCAGCAATGATCTGTTCATTCAAATATCATTAATCATTCAATAATTATTTTTTAAAATTATTATATTTATCTTTCTTTTTTTCAATTTTAAAATTTTCAGTCAATAGGTATAATCAATACTGTCTTTGACAAGTGTTTAATCAAGAGAAAATCAAGGGGGGGATGAGAAAAAATAACATCAGCTGCTGTTGGTGCAATTCAGTTGGCAAACTAACTAAATCAACCACACTCAAACAAGGAGAGGTGACAACAATTTGCAGGCCATGTGTCAGACTTACTATCTAGCAAATCCCTAATCTTGTCCATGTAGATTTCAAAGTAGGAAACCTGAAATAGAAAATGAAATGTAAGTAAAAGTTGATAAAACATCTCACAAAGTGTTGAAAGATATATCATAACTAATTACCTGTAAAAATGGGCACATCTAACAAGATACTGATAACTTATGTTCACACTAGCATGTACATAAATTTCATTAATTATTAATAATTTTACACAACTGGTTTAAAAGAAAGGAAACACATGAGCCTGTTTTGCTGATGTATCACCTTTTTTCGTGATTTAGGGTAATAAATTGATCTTTTCAATGGGAAAAATTGTGAATCTTACAGATACTGAAATTTTTTATAGCCTTAAATCCTTAAAATAACTTTCTAATTGACTGATAACAACAAAGCTAAAGAGGGAAGCTACCAAATAGTTTTATTCCATAAAGAAAATCCACCCTCAGTGCTACACAGAATTATGTTTTTAATGATTCTAAAATTATGTATCTGAAAAACTGATAATTTTTCCCCACTGAAATGATTGAATTATTATGGAATTAATATGGCTGAAACAAAAAGTAGGCAAGTGCAATCCCTGGCAAAGATAATCAATGTTAATTAGATGTGAAACATGATAACAATGGGAAACTGATCATTCATGGATGTTAAAAATACTGATAAGGGGTAGTGTGTGTAACATGCATATCAATATATATCAATTTACTTGATATGCTAAAATAGAAACACTTTTAATAGGAATGAAGCCAAAAACACATCTAAAATAAAACCTAAGTTCAGTTGTTCTCCTCTTTCTGATCTCACATTGCTGTATTTTGTACACACAAAATGAAACTTATCCCAATATTTTTTTTTCAAAATGATACAGTTTAAATTCTAATCAAACACATTATTCATATTTCCAATCTACATTTCCTTTTATTTTCAAAGCATAACAGATCCCAAATCCTGATGCAGCTCTTAGAGTTCACAGAAGGCAAAAATCAATACAAAATATTCCCTAGGTTAATTAAATTATCACTGGGACTAAAAGAACATCACGAAACATCTGTAAGGCAGATTCAAATGTGAAAGAAAAGGCATCAACCAGTTTATAACCGCATTTCAGCTACTTTGACATAACCTGGGATTTCTCAAACCTGCTAAATAAACTAAATTAATACAGATCTGCTATACAAATATGGCTATTTAAAGTGAATTAATACCAGGCTCACATACTCGTTAATGTGATGTCAATTTGCAGAGTGTCATCCACTAGGGACTCCGTTTTATATGAATTTATGTTTTAACCTTAATGGCATAATAACCACAATGTTGTCATAGTGCTCAACAAATTGATTGCTGTTATGATTATGAACAATCTTCCATAAACGGCAGCAATCAATTACAAACAGGTGATCTATCAGCACAATAATACTCCTGAACTTAATGGTCCCACTAAATAAATGAGATATTTATTATGGAAACTAAAAAAGTGAACAATGAATCAGATGTGACACTGAATATTTACTCAGCACACTCATCATTTTGGTTGATACTTTGGGGATAATTATTGACAGACCCTTTTCAGGTTTCTGCCCAAGATGCATATTAACAAGTGCTCAGCCAAAAAACTGACATATTTAGACAAAAGGTGTTCACCATTTTTAAAATATTCTTCCGTCTTAGTGACTTTAATGTATTATTTTTATATCTTTAATCATATCAAACTATAGATTCAACTAAACATCTTGTACGATTAAAATAATAAATTAAAATAAATAAATAAAATAAATAAATAAATAAAAGGAATTTTATTTCAATTGACAATCTTCTGGTATTAAATCGGGCATTTTAAGCAGTCCAAAGCTCTTGGTATGCTCTCTTATTGCATTATCCAAGATGGCATCCAGCTGTCAGTCGAGACTACTGTGGTGACTCATATATAGCGATCAGAGTCTGCCATTCCTGCACAGCACTTCTACTTAGTCCTATCCAAAGAATGGCAGACATGGTATTGATTTTCTCTCTGTTTTCACCGAGATGATCTGGAAGGGTTATTCATATCTGCTGATAGCAGCTAGTTTCCAACAATGAACATTGTTTGACTACCAACTGGTACAGGCAGCTATGTAAAGAATTTGCATATAGACAACTTTAACAAATGCTCTTATGTAGGCCTTTTCTCTGAAGACCTTCAGGCAAAAATTAAAGAATTCTGAGAAAAAAAAAAGGGTTAGAAATAAAACTTTTTTATGTTCTTTTTTTTTGAAAAAAAAATCATTTTTTTCCAGCCACATGATATTACTCAACTAACCTAACAGCAGTCTAGACATAACTTGGTAATTCCATCTATAAATATCTGGAAGATGCCAAAACACATGTTATATACTAAAGGCAAAAGTCTTTGAGCAGTTGCAACACAGTATACCTCCAGTAATGCAGAATCAATGTGTTCTCTTAGCTTTAACTATTAAATTATGGCTGTGTTCATTTAGAACAAAAGTAATGGTCAATAAAATGTCACTTATGCAAGGATGTTCTATTGTTATGATAAGTATAAGATGCCATTTGTAACACATTTGAAGACATAATAAATCACTGAAATCTCTTTCCCGCCCTACCCCCCCCCCCCACTCCCCTAAACCACCATTCTGTATCATTCAAGCAAAGACCCCTATAATCATGTTGTCATTTCTCTAACATCTAGTAAATTTCAAGCAAACAAACAAGTGTATTTTTTCCATCCACCAGCCCATATAATTCCAAGGTTGTTTAACTGCCCATGTATTGATTTGGGTCAGAACATCACATTATGTCGTCAGGTTGAAACTGTCACCAAGTATGTTCATACACATCATGTTTCTTTTAGAGTGTTCAAGTTTAAGTTTGTGTTTACTAGAGTTAAAAGCCAATACATGGAACAATTTTTGGGTAATGTTTTTGGATCCTTTCCTTTGTGCCCAATTTTGAATATGTTTTATTCATAATATTTATCAAATAAACAAGGCAGCAAAGCTGTCAAATGTACAGACAAAAACCAGAAAATAAAAACGCAGGAAATAGGTTACTGTCAATTCTGNCAAGTTCAGTTGTTCTCCTCTTTCTGATCTCACATTGCTGTATTTTGTACACACAAAATGAAACTTATCCCAATATTTTTTTTTCAAAATGATACAGTTTAAATTCTAATCAAACACATTATTCATATTTCCAATCTACATTTCCTTTTATTTTCAAAGCATAACAGATCCCAAATCCTGATGCAGCTCTTAGAGTTCACAGAAGGCAAAAATCAATACAAAATATTCCCTAGGTTAATTAAATTATCACTGGGACTAAAAGAACATCACAAAACATCTGTAAGGCAGATTCAAATGTGAAAGAAAAGGCATCAACCAGTTTATAACCGCATTTCAGCTACTTTGACATAACCTGGGATTTCTCAAACCTGCTAAATAAACTAAATTAATACAGATCTGCTATACAAATATGGCTATTTAAAGTGAATTAATACCAGGCTCACATACTCGTTAATGTGATGTCAATTTGCAGAGTGTCATCCACTAGGGACTCCGTTTTATATGAATTTATGTTTTAACCTTAATGGCATAATAACCACAATGTTGTCACAGTGCTCAACAAATTGATTGCTGTTATGATTATGAACAATCTTCCATAAACGGCAGTGCATAATGATCATACATCACAACACTGAGGAAAAGATGCCGCAAGAAAAAAAAAACAACTATTTCTTTTTAATATCATTTTATCCTTTGGCCAGCAATCAATTACAAACAGGTGATCTATCAGCACTATAATACTCCTGAACTTCATGGTCCCACTAAATAAATGAGATATTTATTATGGAAACTAAAAAAGTGAACAATGAATCAGATGTGACACTGAATATTTACTCAGCACACTCATCATTTTGGTTGATACTTTGGGGATAATTATTGACAGACCCTTTTCAGGTTTCTGCCCAAGATGCATATTAACAAGTGCTCAGCCAAAAAACTGACACATTTAGACAAAAGGTGTTCACCATTTTTAAAATATTCTTCCGTCTTAGTGACTTTAATGTATTATTTTTATATCTTTAATCATATCAAACTATAGATTCAACTAAACATCTTGTACGATTAAAATAATAAATTAAAATAAATAAATAAAATAAATAAATAAATAAAAGGAATTTTATTTCAATTGACAATCTTCTGGTATTAAATCTGGCATTTTAAGCAGTCCAAAGCTCTTGGTATGCTCTCTTATTGCATTATCCAAGATGGCATCCAGCTGTCAGTCGAGACTACTGTGGTGACTCATATATAGCGATCAGAGTCTGCCATTCCTACACAGCACTTCTACTTAGTCCTATCCAAAGAATGGCAGACATGGTATTGATTTTCTCTCTGTTTTCACCAGGATGATCTGGAAGGGTTATTCATATCTGCTGATAGCAGCTAGTTTCCAACAATGAACATTGTTTGACTACCAACTGGTACAGGCAGCTATGTAAAGAATTTGCATATAGACAACTTTAACAAATGCTCTTACGTAGGCCTTTTCTCTGAAGACCTTCAGGCAAAAATTAAAGAATTCTGTGAAAAAAAAGGGTTAGAAATAAAACTTCTTTTATGTTCTTTTTTTTTTCGAAAAAAAAAAAAATCATTTATTTCTAGCCACATGATATTACTCAACTAACCTAACAGCAGTCTAGACATAACTTGGTAATTCCATCTATAAATACCTGGAAGATGCCAAAACACGTTATATTAACCTTTTTCATCTTTTGCGGAAGTACGAAGTGCGCATGACAGGAACCGCGCGCCACAGGGGTCATGGTGGTCCTCTGCTGTTTCCAGCATGGCAATGCTAGGTGTAGATGATGTACAAGGTGCGCATATAAAAAGGTCGTATGAAGCGTGCATTGCTTTCTGGCAAACTAAAAAGGTGGCTGAAGCACAGAAATGAGTAAACTGTAGGCAAGATACAGCTATTTGGACGGAGAATCAAGCAATTAAATGTTTTCTTTCTCAGTTCAAATACGATGCGCTGTAC